CGGTCGAAGCGAGAAAGACGATCACGGTGCACGAGATCGCGTATGCAAATGATAATTGTCGAGTTCAAGCACGCTGGAAAGATCAATTAATTGTGCCGCGAGGAGAACGTTACGTTGGTAGCTACACGGAGACACTGCCGTTTTATTATTATATCGAAACGAAGGGAAGGAAAAAAAAAAAAGAAAAAAAAAAAAAAAGTTGGATATAAAAGTTGGATAATTAGGTATAAATTGATCGTTATTAATGTTTTGCAACTTTCGTTCGCAAATGTTGAATAATTGTTTCGTATTTTGTATAATATCGTGATAAATATCGTGATAAATAAAATAAAACAAAAAAAAAAGAGAGAGAGAGAGAGAGAGAGAAAAATAGAGAAACGATTCCTGATGTTCCTCGGGAATGATTAAACGTTATTGAGCGAGGATTTTATTAAGAATTGTTTGAGTGACAACGATAAGTTTTTCTCCGAATTTAATTCTGATAAAAAAGGATGAAGAAGAATCGTTCCAATCGTAGATAAAATATAACCGTGACGTGTGATAATTGTAAAAATCGTGGATGGATCAATAACGATTTTCGAACAAGATATTTTTCGATATTCTTCTCTAAGGATCGTTTATTTTAATTGCGATATGAAAATCGTTGTTCCATATCTTGTAATTGTTGCAATTGTAATTCTAATGGATCTTTTGATCTTGTAGAGGCCGTTATTTTTTTTCTTTTTTTTTCTTTTTTTCCTCGAACAAATATCTGACAAAGTATTTATATTTATTTACGAATACATTATTTCAGAATGATGAAACTGGGGAGGAAGGAAGGGGGGAAAGAGGGGGGGGGGGAGCGACATTCCAAGTATTTTTTTTAATTAAACTTAATAAAAATAATTGCATCGTGGAAACGATGCAATGTGGAATCGTGCTTATTCAAACACGTCGCGTTTTAAATTATACCAGTGTTCAAAGGTTATAGTCGTTCTAGTAATATCATAAGATCGTGAAATTGGTGTCAAACTACTAGTCGGCAATTATTATAAATGTATCACGGTTGTCTCTCTGCTCTGCCAATCGATTTATACCCTTCGTTCATTCTCTGTTTCTTCTCGTCGATCGATTATAACTCGTTCACGGTGAATATATCCCCCTTCCCTCGATATCGACGAATCAACAATTAATTCGATCCAATTCTAAACTTTTGAAACACATTGTACAAATTTCTTCTATCCCCTCCTCGATTCGACCGAAAGAATGCAATTAAAAAGCAGGTAAATTTGCAATTCGTATGAAACTTTTTTTTTTTTCACTATTTCTAGACGACGAGAATGCATAAATAAAAAAAAAAAGTTGTTTTTTGCAACAATCTTTTTATAAAAATATAACTTGTACAATTTATATTTATATCGCGTATATTATCTCCTCTTATGCATTCAATACCATTTTCCACATTTTTTTATCGATCGATGATCTTTCTCCCTGTGTAAGCATATCTCCGGGTAAGATATAAATTGAAATGGAATTGAATCTCCACGATACTCGCTACACCTCGAAGGATCTCCGTGCGTTCTCCGTGGACTGGGTTAAAAGTGTCCCGACTGCATATGCACGAGCAATTACGCGCGCGCATGAACCGGCCAATTAGACGGCTAAACGTTACGGTAATAGTCGAGCGATAAAAAAAAAAGAAAAAAAAGAAAAAAAAAGTACGGGAAAACGTGATTTGCAAAAATTTCGCGGCGAGCGGTGACGCGATTTAATGGCAAGATTAATTGGCCTTGTGCGGCGTGTTGCTCTTGTTATTGCTATTGACACCAGTCTGTTAACCATTATTTCGTTAATTTGTCTCTCCATTCTGAAATAAAATTTACTTGTTTGTATTTTAAAATATTGTAATTTTTTTTTTTTTTTTTGAGAGAATGGAAATAAGATAGATTCGATAATTGTGCAATTTTGACAAGTCAAATATTAGATGTATGAATGCAAAATTAAATTATTCTGAATTTTTTTTAAACGTTCATCATTTCATTTGATGAATTTGAGAGAGGGGGACAAAAATTTTTATTCGATGGAAATATTTACTAGATATTGGAAGAGATGTGAGAAATATTTTCTTCGTTTTCATAGAATTCAAAAAAATTGGAACAAAGCTACATGATAATGAATAATGAAAATATTCTTATAAAAATATAACTTGTATAATTTATTAAAATGCATCGATCACATTCCAAAAAAAAAAAAAAGAAGAAGAAAGGAATCATCGCTGTCGAAAATTCAAAAATTGTCACAAAAATGGTAACGAACGTTTCAAAGAACGAAAATTTTGTATTCTTTTTAACAAATACTCACCAACTTTTTTAAAATGCATCAAGCAATCATCTTCTCAACTTTCCAAAAACCGATCACATTCAAAAAAAAAAAAAAAAAAGAAGGAATCATCGCTGTCGAAAATTCAAAAATTGTCACAAAAATG